AATTTGGGTCGCGACCAATTTGGGTCGCGACCAGAGTCGCGGAACGAATTAAGTTCGTGAACCGAGGTACCACTGTATATTGTCAGTAGAAAAATTCAAGCTAGACCAGTGTGCTTAGGAGCTACAGTAGGCCTTGAGTTCAGTAAAGTAGATGTCATGTATCTATGGAATAAAAGCTTGTATAATATCAAGGAAGGTTCCTTAGTTCTTTTTATACCAGTATGTATTTGAGAGAGAGCTCTCTGTAAGATTATACTTTCTGGAAACACTTTCTAGAGGGAATGGAAAACTTTATATTCATTAACAATAGTTCAGAATTAAGATCATATTGCTCTCAGACTATAAGAAGCAGAGACTGGGTTCATACCATAGAAACAAATGATAATATATTATGTTATGGTTTCATTGTTTGAGGTATGCAGTGTCATAATTTTTGTCCCACAAGAAAGCAGACCTAAAACACCATTCCCCAACTTGGTTGCCCTCTAGACATATTGGGAGAATTATAGGAATTGAAGCCCAACACTTTGGAACACACCAAATTGGGAAAGTGTGATCAAAGTGTTTTTCAAATCATGAATTTAGCTTCTGTAGTTCCTGCACATGTTACAGAACATTTTCTGCTTGCAGAAATCAACAATGGCTAGTGTACATATCACTACAAGAAATTACAACATTCTATAACATATTTCTTAATTTCTGTTGTTGAAAATTACCTAAAGTAGACATGTTACCTCTTTGTAAAGCTCCAGTCTATTGATCTAGCACTTTTGTCTCATGCCAACTGTTTGGTGTTGGATTAGTGCAGTTTTTCAACCTTGGTGACTCTAAGATGTAAGGACTTCAACTCCCAGAATTCCCCAGCCAGCTTCTGGGAGTTGAAGTCCACACATCTTAAAGTTGCCAAGGTTGAGAAACACTGGATTAGTGTGTTCTGCAATTCCAGTCCATTCTGATCTATTCAATAAATGGTAAAGAAACAAGATTATTGTGATGTTTGAACACAGCCTGAATGTAATGTATTTGGGCTGCTTAGAAACATAAATATAACAGAACAACTAGGTGCCTGAGGCCAAAGATCTACTGCTCCAATCTCATTCAGTGATATGGATTCTTAATGGGACCATTCCAGAACAAAGATACACATTGCAAACACTGTCCTAGAAGTAGCATAGTTTCCTTTCAGTTACTTACAGTGGCTTTGTGTCAGCTCTGGGAGGGCAATGGGCACGGAGGTATTTTGCCAGCAAAAAGGCTAGATACCCAAGCAATCCAAGCAGCAACAAACTGCCAAGGACGATGAAGAATGGCACATACCAAGCTGATGAAGCATAGACATTTTCTTTGCTGGTCACAATGGTAACACCAGGCTTGTAAGGAAAAAAGGGGGGTTGGGAATGAACTTGTTCTTAATTACCATGAACGCAAAAATATTCTCTTCGGTGGAGATCAGCACTGCAGTCATAATAATATTGCATGGAACGCTCATTTGGCTAGTGATGTGTTTAGGAACATTGATTTTAAGTTAGCAATTGTCATATATCAAATCCATCCAATGAACAAAGAAGATGCTACACTCCTCATTAACTTCCATAACACCTTGTTTCTACAGCTACCGTTCCATTGCATCCATGGATCTTGCTTGCTTGTAATGTGGTTCGTGGTGGGACTCTGTCTTACTGAATATCAGGGTTGTGCAATATTCCAGCTTCTGTTCCAAAAAAGTGCGTTAGAGTTCAAACATAGCACGCATCTATAAATCTAAAAAGCAGCTGTATTTTTTCCCCAGGGTCTCATACCAGTTACAAGGGACAACAGGACAATACCGGGAAAAAATGCAGTTGCTTTAGAGAGCTGCCAACTGGGGGTACAGCCACACAGCTGTGTACCCTAAAGAACCTTTTCTAAATTATTTTTGAAGTGCTGCACATACAAGCTACATACATATCCATTATATTGTCCCTTTGCAGATAGGCAACATTATGCAAAGGGCGGTAAGACAAAAAAAAATGAAGGTATGAAATAAGAGAAGGAAATATACCCTTACACCAATACCATATAACAGGGTTCCTCAACTTTGGCAACTTTTAAGCAGGGGGGGAGCCACATCCCAACATTATCCCCCTCCCACTCCTCCCTCACG